CCAAGAGGCATTCGAAACGTAAAAACCCACTGCCTTGTTATGGTTTTTGTAGGAGTTGGGGAATACTCTGTTCTTCGGTCGTCCAGCCGTCCGAGACCGCCCAGGAGGAATCGCTCCAGTGATCAAGAGGGCTTCCACGCAGTCCAAGAGGAGCCCTATGACGGCCCAAGATGGCCCCAAAACGCTCCCCGAATCACTCCAAATCGTGACCCGGTCGCTCAGGGAGACCGCGGTTGGAAGCAGGGTGGCCTTGGAAAGCCCCCAGAGGACCCCAGAAGGAACCCAGGAGACCTCCGGAGGGCCCCAACAAGCCCGCAAAAATTGTCGTGCGGCCCCCAAGAGGCTTTCCTAGCATGAGCCTCCGCAAAAAGAGCTGAAGATGGGGACGAATTCGCAGGGTAGGGCGAGAATGAGGGAGAGGAAGGGGAAGCACGAGGGAAGGATAGCGAATAGCATTGTTGCAACGACGATTCCAGACAAACAAAAAATAGTGTTCGCCAAATGTTATGTGTAACCTTATTGTCCTCCTGTCTGCATGCCAGACTCCAACGACCAAAGCGCATGGCACGAAACGCCAAGGCAGTCTTGTACATATATGTATATATGTGTATATCTACATGAGTGGCACTGTCACACATACTTCTCATACAACTAAGTTCGAACGTACAGATTTCACCGCACATGCGCACATCCATACATACATACGTACACACACATACATGCATGCCGACATACATAGATGCATATACATACATACATACATACATACATACAAACATACATACATACATACATACATACATACATACATACCCACATACATACACATGCATACATCCACACATATACATACAGTCACATACATACATGCATGTATGCACACACGCATACACACATGTATAATACATTCAGAAATAAAGAACTACATACAGGCAGACATACATACACACTCATAACAACATACATACGCATATAAACATGCGTGTATGCATATACATTCATACGTATACACATGCATACATCTATACATACATGTATTCATACATACATACATACATACAAACAAACGTATTTGCATACACCTACACACATACATGCATGCATACACACATGCATACAAACAAACAAACAAACAAACATACATACACACATGTACGTACAATTATGCCCACATGCATACATGCCTACACGCCGACGTGCACACATACATACATCCGTACATGCATACATGCAAACATGTATACATACATGCATGCATTCATGCATGCATGTATGCATACATACATCCATACCTACATACATGTTTGCATACCGGTCCGCATTCATACATACATACATAAGCGCATACTTGTTTGCATGCGTCTTTCCAGGAGTACACATCCATGCATGCATGAATGTGTACGTACATACATGTATGCACACATACATGTATGCGTACATACGACCTGTGCATATATATATATACACATAGATATACATGTAGACATGCATGTATATGTGCATACGTACATGCAAACACACATACGTACGTACATACGTACGTAAGTACATACACGCGTACATACATCCAGACGTACACACACACACGTACATACACATGGGTTGTTGTATACCGGATCCTCCGAATTGTGCTCGCACTTCGGGTATCTGATTTGTGCAATTGAGGAATTGTATTGGTGTGTCGTGGGTTCGGCTGGTGCCCACTTTGTGCCGCCTCGTTGACGCCTCGTTGACGCCTCGTGCGTTGGGTGGGTGTGTCGGGGTTTCGGCTGGTGCCTGGTTGGTGTCGCCTCGTTGCCGCTTCGTTGCCGATTCGTGCTCTGGGCGGGTGTGTCTGGGGTTCGGCTGGTGCCCAGTGAGTGTCGCATCGTTGCCGCTTCGTTGCCGCCTCGTGCGCCGGTTGGGTGTGTCGGGGTTTCGGCTAGTGCCTGGTTGGTTCTGGCCCATTGCCGCCTCGTGCGCTGGTTGGGTGTGTCGGGGTTTCGACTGGTATCCAGTGAGAGCCACCTGGTTGCCGATTCGGGCGCTAGGTGGGTGTGTCGGGGTTTCGGCTCGGCTGGTGCCTGTTTGGTGCCGCCTCGTTGCCGCCTCGTGATCTGGGTGGATGTGTCGGGATGTGCCCGTTGGGCACCGCCTCGCTTTCCCCTGTTACACTGCTGCATGATTGTCAGCATGTAGTTTTAACTTCGCCAGCTCACGCCACGTAGCTTTCACCATATAGTTTACACTGCATAGCGTTCACATCCACAGTGCAATAACGCACTGTTTGGTCCCCCCCAGGACACATCATCCTCAACGACTCCCTCCCCTCTGCGAATGCGCTCGCCGAGACCGACAGCGATGACGAAATCAACAAACCGTTCGAGTGCACGATCGAGCATTGTGGTAGGCGCTTCAACACGTTGAAACAGCTCGTTACGCATCAAACTAAATCAAGGGGAGTGGGACATGGGATGCCGTCTATCTTAACTACAATACAGGTGGATAACAGATGCCTAGTATGCAACACAACATTCCCCAACAGAGACCATGCAGTACGACACTTAAGGCGGGCCTGGCATGCGGGCCGACGCATACCTGAACTTACTCACCATGCTTATCCCTGGGTTCCAGCCACATGTACTACATGCACTACATGCCCTCTTCGTGAATATGATCTAGATCCCGCATGTCATCATGAATACCAGGCCCCCGAACAGCTACGGAGACATCTTCTCTCTCACCTCCCGCCGTCGCCATCGGGTTCCTTGCTCAAACCAGTTCTCAGGACGGAGTTCCGCTCGACTCGATCGAGCCCAGTGTTGCGAGTTTCCCGCCATTCACAGCACCCGCGGCCGCGCGTGATCGAGGACACCGCTGGTGTACGGGCAGTGCTGCGTCGATCAGCCGACCTTATCCTGAGGCCAGGACATCCGCTAGACGTGCGCCGACAGATCCGCAGGGCCCCTCGACGTGCAGACACGCCAGTGCCCCCAGTCTGTGAGCCCGTGAGCAGCGAGGTCAGAGCTTCGACGCCTACACTCCCACCGCTTCCTGAACAGCATGACGGCAGCCGCAGCCACCAGCGAGGAACGAGCAGCAGGCGCGGCGACGGCGCCCCCCGCAGGGAAGGGCCCTCCGCCGACGCCAGCCAAGGCGGCTCGGGCGCCCTGGCGTATCCCCCTGGACTCCTCAGCGGGCTCCAAGGGATCTGGCAGCGCCTCCAAGCCAGGGGAGCCACCGCAGGCCAAGGCGCGCCTGCGATCGCCTCCAGCGCGGCAGCCGCCAGCAGGCCAGCGCTCGAGGTCCCCGCGCCCCCCAGTGGCCGCGCACGAGGACGAGCAGCTCGCGGGCGAGGCCGCAGCCGCGGGCGCGCAGGGCCTGCGCAGGAAGCGCAGGGGCGGCCGCAGGGCCAGGCGCGGCGCGCACAACGACAAGGTCTGGAGCAGCAAGGACAAGAACCTTCTGAGTCTCTTGCGATCCACGCTGAAGCTGCTGCTCCAGACCACCCACAAGACCAGACTCACCAGCAGCATCGGCATCGACACGTACACGATGAGCAGCAAGCACCCCGTCATCGACGGGATCACCAACGAGCTCGAGGGCTACAAGCAGCTACTCGATCAGCTTCGCAGGAGCGGAGAAGCCGCCGACAAGGCCAGGCTCAAGGAGATCGGCTCTCCCGCTCCAGCGTTGGGACTCGCAGCCCTCGAGAGCCTCCAGAAATGCGACATCGGGGGCTCGCTCAAGGCAGAGATCGCCACGTACCTCGAGAAAGTACAGCCGATGGACCCAGATGTGGAGGTGGAAATCTCCAAGGACGATTTGCAGACCGCCATCAGCTTCGTACGGCTCGAGAGTTGTTTCGACACGGACAAAATGAAGCTCATCATCGGGGCCCCAACCTGGGAGGGGCGCCTCATCATTCAGAAGGCGCTGGCTTCAGAGGGATCGGCTCAGCATCACCGCCTGAGTGGCGCCGGCAGGATGGCTCGAGGAAGAAGTGGCTCATTGGCTGGAGACTCTCGAGCAGTAGCAATTCGTTTCATCAGAGGTGAATCCCTGCCTGCGTCCAGGAGCGGTGTGACAGTCCACCATATGCGTGCCGCTCCCCTCACGCCACCAGTTTCTTTAGATACGCCAGCGCCATCTCAAGGCACGCCCGTTTCAGCGCCCATGGCGAGTTCAGCCCAGCCAGTGCTCGTGTCGCCCAGCCTGCCAGCGCAGGTTGCGCCACTTTCAGCCTCTGTGCTATTTCAACGCCCGCTTGCCACTGACGCTTCGCCAGCACCCGTGCCTGTTTCTTCGCTAGCGCCAGCTGAAACCCTCCCAATGCCATCGAGTACGCCCGACCAGCCGAGTGCGCCCAGTTTCATGTCACTGGCTCTCTCAGGTAGCACGCAGGCCCCTTTTGAGTTTGACGCCGAAGATGAGGCGGCACAGTTTCTCTTCTCATAGAAGTCTTCCGTGACGAGGCAGCGCAGCGCAGCCCCCCTGTGCCAGCACCCTCGCGACAGCGGCCCAACGAACGGGGCCTCACGAGTTCTTTGGCACTCTGCGGCTGATCAACTTTTTACGATTGCAAGCTGGCTCCAGTTTGATTGGTCCTGATGCCGAGTAAAAATCATCATCATCATCATCATCATCAGCATCATTATCATCATCAGCAGCATCAGCATCAGCATCAGCATAAGCATCAGCATCATGATGATGACGATGATGATGATCATCATCACCATCATCACCATTACCATCGCTATCACCATCATCATCTCCCCTCCCCCTTCCCTCGTCGTCCTCCTCCTCCTCCTTGTCCTCCTCCCCATCCTCATCACTTCCTCCACCTCCCCCTCCCCCCTCACGCCCTCGTCCCCATCCTCTTCCTCATCCACATCAGTGTTCCTCGTCCTCTTGCCCGTTTCTCACTGCGCTTCGTCCTCGTCGTCCTTCTGTTTCCCGCTCCTGCTCCTCCCAGCTGGGGCTCCTTCTCATCGGCGCGCCTCCTCCTCACATCCTCAGGCACAGCCGTGTGGGCTCAAGCAGTTTGAGGCACTCGCGCCCGGGCCACCCGTGGACCACCCCGCTGGCAGCGGCATCCCCAGCCACCCTGCCCGGCAGCCATGCAGGCGACGGAAGTTGGCAGCAACGGGTATGCGGCGGTGAGCCTGACGGAGGCCGAGGCGACCGAGGCGGCGCGCGGCGAGCCCTCGCGCCGCAGGACGTGGGCGGCCGCAGCGGCTCTCGCCTGCGCTCTCGCCGCAGCAGCGGCCGCCGCCCAGTCGACCCTCGCCGGGTCGCGTCAGGGGCTCCGTGGCGACACGGCCAGGGCGGTGTCGCTCGGCGAGGCAGCAGGCACCGCCGAGAGGTACTACGACTCTGCCACGGGCAAGTTCATGGACGCTGCCGGCAACGTGTACGACAGCGCAGTGGGCGGCGCCGCGGGCACCGCCGAGAGGTACTTCGACGCCGCCACGGGGAAGGTCAGGGACGCTGCGGGCAACTTGTACGACGCCACGGACGACTTCGTGGACGCCGCCGGGAACCATTATGATGCTGCCACGGGCAAGTTCAAGGACGCTGCCGGCAACTTGTACGATACCGCAGCGGACCTCCACGGCGCCGCCAAGGACACTCTGGGCGATCTCAGTTCTGTCAAAGGCGCTGCCAGCGATATGTATGATGCCACCGCGGATGCTGCCAGTGACCTCCACGGCGCCGCCAAGGACGCTGCCAGCAATTTGTACGACGTCACGGGCGACTTCGTGGACGCCGCTGGGAACCATTACGATGCTGCCACGGGCAAGTTCAGGGACGCTGCTGGCAATTTGTACGATACCGCAGCGGACCTCCACGGCGCCGCCAAGGACACTCTGGGCGACGCCGCTGACGCAGTCAAGGACGCTGCTGCCTTGGGCAATCCTCTGACGGCGGCTGGGGAGCACTGGCGGCAATCCATGAGGGGCGCCGCAGGCAAAGTGGGCGATGCGGTCAAGGGCGCTGTAGGCTCCGCGCAGAAGAGTGTAAAGACGGCCGTGGGAAAGATAACCGGCGCGACTGCGGACACCGTCGACGATGTGACCGAGATTGTGGCCGCTGACGGCATCGGGAGGCACTACGACGCTGCCACGGGCAAGTTCATGGACGCTGCCGGCAACTTGTACGACAATGCAGTCGGCGGCGCCGCGAACACCGCTGGGAGGTATTTCGACGCCGCTACGGGGAAATTCAAGGACGCTGCTGGCAACTTGTACGACGCCACGGACGACTTCGTGGACGCCGCTGGGGACCACTATGATGCTGCCACGGGCAAGTTCAAGGACGCTGCTGGCAACTTATACGATACCGCAGCGGACCTCCACGGCGCTTCCAAGGACGCTGCTGGCAAGTTGTACGATGCCACGGGCGACTTCGTGGACGCCGCCGGGAACCATTATGATGCTGCCACGGGCAAGTTCAAGGACGCTGCCGGCAACTTGTACGATACCGCAGCGGACCTCCGCGGCGCCGCCAAGGACGCTGCCGGCGACGTCGCTGACGCAGTCAAGGACACTGCCGACACCGTGGGCGACACTCTGGACGCTGTTGGCGACGCCGCTGGAGACACCGTCGACACCGTGGGCGACACTCTGGACGCTGTTGGCGACGCCGCTGGGGACACCGCCGACACCATGGGCGACATCATGGGCGACACTCTGGACGCCGTTGGCGACGCCGCTGGAGATACCGCCGAGACTGTGGGCGACACCATGAGCGACTCTCTGGACGCTGTTGGCGACGCCGCTGGAGACGCCGCCGACACCGTGGGCGACACCATAGGCGACACTCTGGACGCCGTTGGCGACGCCGCTGGGGACACCGCCAGCACCGTTGGCGACACCATGGGCGACACTCTGGACGCCGTTGGCGACGCCGCTGGGGACACCGTCGACACCATGGGCGATGTGCATGGTGCCGCACGCTAGGGCAGGAGTAGTGCGGTGCCGCCTCCCCACCGCAGCGCTTGGGCGCTAACACAGTGGTGGTGGGCCGGGGCAGTTGCAGAGGAGGCAGGCAGGGGGATAGCGAGTGCGACTGTGGCGATGGAGGGGAGGGGGTGACAGTGCGGACGCGTGCCGAGAAACCACCTGTCTTCTAGGTTCCCCCAGGGGCGCGAAGATAGTCGCGCTTCGCGCATCGCGGCCTGGGTGGGAGAATGCTGGAGAGGCGCCCTTCTCCAGGGTGGCGGCGCGAGGGAGCGAAGCTGACCGCGCGTCGCGCTTCGCGGGGCGCGATGCGTGAAGTTGGGCGGCCTAGGCCTTTAGCTATGGTGCCCTGGATTTGTGAACCTTTTTATACTTATTGTTTTGCCGATCGGTGCGGGCCCTCACATACCCCCTCCCACCCCCCTGGTGGAGTAGATCTTGGCTGTTTCGGGCGCCTGTTTCAAGCAGGTGGAGTCTCCCCCCATAGGACGTTCTGCTGCAATCAGTCGCACGAAGCAGCGGTCTGGAGCCAGACCCCCCCCCCCCTCCCCACCCCCTTTCCGCCCAATGTCGCAAGGCCGAAGAAGAAAACGCTCGCTTTTTTGGGTCCCAGTTCCCCCCAGCAGCGCCTGCAACTGGAGGATGGGTCTATGTCGGGTTTGGGCCACGTCGTGGGCCCGTACCGCCTCCCGGTGCGCCTCGTAGGCTGCCCCGCGCCCGGGGGGTATGTCGGGGTTGCGCCGCGTGGCTCGTGGGCTTACACGGCGTAGCTGTCATTGCAAAGCTTACACCGCACAGCTTCCTCCACCCAGCTTGCACCGCGTAGCTTCCACAAGGTAGCTTGCTTCTCACAGCTTGTACTCAGGGCTTGCACCCATAGCTTTCACCTCCAGTGCACACCGCATAGCTTACACGACCTATCCCACTCTACATAGCTTACACCGTATAGTTTCCACTCCCGTAGCTCATGCCACATAGCTTACACGATAAAACTTCCACCCACGTGGCTTACACCGCATAGCCCCCACCTCCACAGGGCAATCATGTACTGTTTGGGGTCCACGCTGTCAAACGCTTTCTCGTAGAACTTCAAGAGGAGGGCCAGGATACTCAATAACAACCGGTTATTGTCCCTCGAGAGCTGAGAACTTCAGGGCTG